AAGACTTGATCGGAGGATATATAAAATGTGAATAGGCCAGGGCACAAGGGGAGATACCATAACTGTTTAGCACAGGTTTGTTCAAATGATCGGCTTTACTTGTCTCTTTGACTATTTGTAATATGGCAACGAATGGCAACACTCACTGACGATGCCGGCGAAACGTCTGGGAATGTACCATGTCCACTGTCCGACTTTGCAAATGATTATGCATGCAATGGACTCCGGACAATGTGCGTTCCTCTAAGTATTCCTCCCAATACGACCAAGTTGCGAAAACAAGGTTAAGCAACTTCTAAATAATTATCCTGTTTGTACCTAGTGAAATGTGCCTAATATAGCAAAATCAGATGAGGCTGTACCTTTTTCTATTGTTGGCATGCGCTAACCAGAAAGGAATCAGAATGGAACATTTAATTAACTTATTGAATAAATATAGCAACACCTGCGTAAAAATGAAAAACAAGATGGTGTGGTTTTTTGTTTGGTCACAGTTTTCTTTAGCAGTATATTCTTGGTTCGACCTCGTTTTCGCAACTTAGTTGTACTGAGAGGGAGGCCTTGAGAACTTATTTAGTTCTGCGTCCGCTGCCATAGTATTTATGAGGATTTCCTTTATCGGACCGTTTACTTGGTACATTCCCAGACGTTTCGCCGGCTTCATCATTGAGATTCGCCATCGTTGGCATAGAGTTTCAACTCATCAAAGTGACAGGTGAAGGCAATCCTCTCGATCAGTTTTCTGTTCAACTATTGTGGCATCACTCCTTACCCCTGTTTTTTGTCTTTCCTTTTATTGCATTCCCCTCCACCTATTTACACCATTCTATTCTCTTGTTTCCTCCAGTGTCGCTTCAAATGGATTTAGTGAAGCATAATCAATTTTACCACTGGCTTCAGATGCAATTCGCAAGGCCTCTGCATCATGACTTCTGGCTTTCATCTTGTCTTCCTCTATACATCTTGTCAATTGCTCCCGCTACACATAAAAACCACTGTCTATTTGGCTACCTATGAGCCCTCAACTCTACATACCTTTTACATCATATACGTGTACGTAAATGAGGACCGGAATCGAGGACTCATAGACGGCCAGATAGTGATTTTTATGTGGAGCATGGAACAATTTAGGAGCTGAGTGAAGGGGGCCTAAATGAAAGCTAGAAGCCCTGCAAATGGCATCTGAATCCGGTGGTGAAGGTGATTATGCTTCACTAAATCCACTTGGGGCGACACTTATGTGAGATTGAAGGAAACGAGAATACATAAGGTGTGAGTAGATAAATGGGCCATAGGAAGTGGGGTTAAGGGAAAATGATCCAGCACTAGAAGCTATGATAAAAAAGAGTGATGCCACAACAGTCGGGTGCACCAAAGCATTTTTGTGTTCTGCTAACCAACACATTGATATCTGGAGGAGGACACAATCTTGTAACAGCTGCTTCTGGAAATTAAATTAGATCTCTCTTTAAAAATTGGCACCAAACGAGGTCTATTTGAAATCTCCTTTTGTCCTCCATTTATCAGTTATTTAGAATAAAGGCGAGTTGGTAAGGTTTTGGTATTCGAAAAGGTTTCATGCCAC